ATAAAATCTTCCCACCAAACACTCGTATATACATGATATATATCTAATTGAATTTCAAATTTTTCTGAACAAATGTAAATTGAACTCAAATTACAACTTGGAAATTTAGCTATAGCCGACAACAAAGACCTGTGACTCTCATGACTAATATGTCTGCCTATTATTAAACAAAGACCTGTATTTGATTAATTGATTGTTGGTTGCTTGATGTCCAGTGGCAACTATTTCATGAATAGTTCGGACAATGAGATCTGTGACTCTCATAACTAATATGTCTGCTTATAATATTAATGAACAAAGACATGTAATTGATTAAATGATTGTTGTCTGCTTAATGTCCAGTGGCAATTATTTCATGCATATTCTGTACAATAAGACCTGTGACTCTCATGACATAAATAACTGCCTATTGAAAATCTGTAATGGATTGATTGTTGCTTGTTTAATGTCCAGTGGCAACTACATGTATTTCATGCATATTACAGACAATGAGACCTGTGACTCTCATGAGTAATATATGTCTGCCAATTGAACAAAGCTCTGTAATTAATTGATTGTTGGTTGCTTAATGTCCAGTGGCAGTTATTTCATGTTTATTCCAGACAATGAGACCTGTGACTCTCGTGAGTAATATATGTCTGCCAATTGAACAAAGCTCTGAAATTAATTGATTGTTGGTTGCTTAATGTCCAGTGGCAGTTATTTCATGCATATTCCAGATAATGAGACCTATGATTCTCATGACTAAAATATATATGTCTGCCTATTGAACAAAGACCTCTTGCTTAACGTCCAGCAGCAATTATTTCATGCAGTTTCACGAAAATGAGACCTGTGACTCTGATGACTTATTATATATATAATATATATATATGTCTGCCTTTTTGAACAAAGATCTGTAATTGATTGATTGTTGCTTGCTTCCTATGTCCAGTGGCAACTATTTCATGCATATTCCAGACAATGAGACCTGTGACTCTCATAACTTGTATATATATATGTCTGCCTATTGAACAAAGAATTGTGATTGATTGATTGTTGGTTGCTTAACATCCAGTGGCAATCATTTATTGCATATTAAAAGAGGTTGAGGAATGAATGATAGTAAAAACCAGCAAAATATTGCCCTTTGTACATGTACCTGTTTAACTTCTCACTTTATCTTTTACACAACTGTTAACTAGTCAGCAATCTTAAAGTAATGGTTCATCTTGTAAGACTGATTGATTGATTGTTGGTGTTTAATGTCACTTTCAGAGGTATTGGCTATATTGTGGCTCTCAGTTTTTATTGGTGGAGGAAGCCCGAGTGCCTGCAGAGAACCGGTACCTTATGCAGGAAAACTGACAATCCTATTCAGTTACCATTGAAGACGAACGCACCTGCTACATGCATTGTTCGAACTCACAACCTCAGTGTTGACAGGCTAGTGATACATGTATAGTAGATGAACTACTTAGATGAATTGGCCCCAGTTTTGTAAGACATATAAATAAAGGAAGAATACCAAACAATACATTAGGCATAAATCAGGCCGTTAGTTTTTCTCTTTTGAAATGTTTCACATTTTGTCATGCTGGGCTTTTAAAGCTTACTTTATGTTATGGGTTTTTCTCATTGTTGAAAATCATAGAGTGCCCTATAGTTGTTTACAATTTAGTCCTTAGGGCTCTGGTGGATAGTTGTCTCATTGGCAATTATACCACATCTCCTTATTTATATATATGTACATAGAAAGCAGTATGATTCATCCAATTAACTTAAAAAGTATGATTCATTCAATTAACTTAAGGAGTATGATTCATCCAATTAGCTTAAGGAGTATGATTCATCTAATTAACTTAAGGAGCATTGGATTCACCCAATTAACTTAAGGAGTATGATTCATCCAATTAACTTAAGGTGTATGATTCATCCAATTAACTTAAGGAGTATGATTCATCCAATTAGCTAAAGGAGTATGATTCATCTAATTAGCTTAAGGAGTATGATTCATCCAATAAGCTAAAGGAGTATGATTCATCCAATTAACTGAAAGAATATGATTCATCCAATTAACTTAAGGAGTATGATTCATCCAATTACCTTAAGGAGTATGATTTGTCCAATTACCTTAAGGAATATGATTCATTCAATTTACTTAAGGAGTATGATTCATCCAATTAGCTTAAGGAGTATGATTCATCCAATTAGCTAAAGGAATATGATTCATCCTATTAACTTAAGGAGTATGATTCATCCAATTAGCTAAAAGAGTATGATTCATCTAATTAGCTTAAGGAGTATGATTCATCCAATTATCTTCAGGAGTATGATTCATCCAATTAACTTAAGGAGTATGATTTATCCAATTAACTTAAGGAATATGATTCATCGAATTATCTTAAGGAGTATGATTCATCCAATTACCTTAAGGAGTATGATTCATCCAAAACCTAAAGGAGTATATGACTTTATGATTCTCCCAATTCACTCTGCAAAGTGAACAGACAACTCTAGTTACCTCAAGCTTTTAATTAAACTCAATTACATGACGAATGTACAAAGTCAGGATACAAGTTCATGTATATAGTCCATTATGTTACTTTTGATTCATGGGTCTCTGTCTGTGGTTTTTTTCATGATAAGTTGGTACATGTAGTTGGCAGATGATGAACAAAGTGGTGACGATTTATGTGCTTTTGATCAATTTTGTCATAATTTTGAAGAATCAATTGGTAGTTACAACAACTCGTATGTTTGAAAAAATTTGTATCAAAATGATAATGTCGTAGTTCATTATTAGGGTTGGTTGGGACACCCTAAATGAATAACATTTCTTTATGTTGCCTGAAGACAAAGGGAATGTTGTTTAAATCTATTAATCTTTAAACAAGATATTAGCCAATTTCACATATTTTGTACACCCAAGTTTACAAATGTTTAAATTGTTTAATCATAATAATAATAAAAATTTGTAAGGGTCCCGCGGAAACCAGTGTCTCGCCTGCTTTTGCTGTTGTCTATGTTTTCAGTGTGATAGGGGAATGCACATAATAGATTTACAGTTAATGAAAATAAACGTTTGAAATGTATAAAAAAGTTATGCTTGTAAAAAATGAATACAGTATGCAATAAAATCTATAGATTTATAAAAGAGTTGAAACATAAATTTATTGAATGAACAAATGATAAAGAAAAAATAATTTTTACATATTTGGTTTGGTAAAAATCGAGGATGGTGCCGCCGAAGAAAGTTATTAAAATTTTAAAAACTTTCATCACAATGTGAATGTTATGTTAACTGGAAGAAAAACTAAGTCCATTTATAAGTAAAATACGGAAAAACAGAAATAAATATTTTACAAAATTTTCTTCTGGATACTATTTTTAGATCATAAACAAGCTTCTGTCCAAGTTTGGTAGAAATCCAGGATATTTTAAGAAAGTTATTAAAATTTTAAAAACTTTAACCACAGAGTGAATGTAATGTTAAATGGCAGAAAAACTAAGTCCATTTATAAGTAAAATACTGAAAAACAGGATTTTTTTTTTACAAAATTTACTTCTGGATACTATCATGACTATCTTATGCTCATAAACAAGCTTCTTGCAAGTTTGGTAGAAATCCAGAATAGTTTAAGAAAGTTATTAAAATTTCAAAAACTTTCACAGAGTGAATATTTGTGGAAGCCGCCACCGACGGAATGTACGATCGCTGTCACGCTTTTGCGACAAAAGTCGCAGGCTTGACAATAATGAAAACATACACATGTATTAATTATCACTATTACAAATAGTAATTAAAAAAAACATGAACAGGTAATCACGCAAAATCGATTACAAAGATAAGATACATTCATTTTAAGGAAAGAGATCACCTAAACAGACTTCCAAGAAATAAACAGATAAACAAAAAAATTTAATCACCCTTATTTAAAGAGCAACTTTAGAAGTCTCAATCAGGAAGAAGTTTAGGAAAAAAATATATTTGTGATGAACAGAAATTCTTTCAATTATTCTCTGAATTATACTTTTTTCTGGTACATGTAACATTCAAATGGCAAAATTTAGTTCAATACGGGAGAAGTTTAGCTAGGAGTTACCCAGACAAACCATGTACTCATGCCTTTTATTACTAAAATTCGACATCATTTGTGGAATATTAAAAGAAATTCAAAATCCTGACAATATGCATACCTTCAGTACATGTACTAACATACATGTATACTACATAAGTAATATAAAAGTTTTTGCTTGAAAACTGTAAGGACAAACCATATACCATATGGAACAGATGGACCACCAGGGGTAAAACAAAATGCCCCAAGACACTTTGTCAGAGGGTCATAAAGAGATAAAATCGCTGCATCGATGGTCCATAATATGGCAAAGAAAGTTTATAACATCATAATTATTATACTTGAAATGCATTGGATTTTACAAGATGAGAAAACTGTAAATTGGAATATTCCTTTACCATACTGGCTTTTTCTTTAATTATTGAAAGAGAAAACTATTTTTGACATGTTTTGAACCACTTAAGCACCTGATTATTGAGATATACAAAGAGGCATGAAATTAAATAAAAGTTTAAATGGTTTATAATGTACACACTTGTGCAGACTGTACTAGATTTTGGCAAGTTATCAAGTTCTGTCAAGCCATTTAAATAATTTGCGAATAGGTATCCTTATTTGCAGTTTTGAACATATGTGGTGTATTCAAAATTATTGCTAAATAAAGAAATTTAAAAATTTAAATACTCCTAAATTGTATATGCTGTCAAACCTGTATATTTCACTGAATTGATAGTAAAAGGGAAAATTAACCTGCACAACAGAACAAATGAACTGGACAGTGTGACCATGACTGTGCAGCATAATAAAACTAATGTTATAATTTATATGTATTGGAGTTAATTGACAGTAATACAAAAGTTGATTTCACTTTATTTCTAATATATCCTCATTAAAAAGTTTAAACAATAATTGCCAGGACTTAATTTTACGTTTACTTACCTTTTTCAGCTCAGGTGTGATTTTACTACAGGTACGTCTATCGTGGGAACTCGGACTTGTCCATGCACATCGTAGTAAATGACGTATTTTCGGTACATTTCGATATGGCGGGAAATATAAAATTTGTAATATTACAAAGTAGTGTTTACAAAACGAATATACTGTGTTAAGCCAAGGATTTGTATAGTGACTATACAAATCATTGGTTAAGCGTATCCAATAAGAACAAAGTGTGTGGTTAAAAGCCTACCCAATTCGAATAAAAGGTGTGGGTGAACATCAATTAGACAGCAACCCAATGGCATAAAAAAAGAGCAACAAAAATTAATTATCTCGAATCAATTCAATATGACTGATATATAGGTTCTGTATTGTATTTTCTGATTACGATATTCTGACTAAAACTCCAGTGAAGTATAATGGGGCTGAGAAAGTAGACCATAGCAGTCTCATGGTGGGGTAGGAATACTCGCTAAAGTTTCCCATGTCTTCCAACAGGGAGCAATAGATTTTAGTCCCAGCTTCCAAGAAGCGGCAATATTTAAAACCTGACACTGTCCCAAATAAAAATGCAAATCCCTATCGAGCTGGGAGTTTATCAAATACCAGGAGACCTGTTTGTATGTCTTACCTGAGACTACTATAACACTGTATAGTAGTCTCATGTCTTACATTCTTTCTTTATTTGATTTTTTTTTTATTTTCAAATTTATATTTACAATAAAATGTAATTAGGTCATATCGCAAATTCTGATCTTATATTCAAGCTTTACGTATTGCTGTGTGTTTGTTAATTCTACATTGGCTAGAGGTATAGGGGGAGGATTGAGATCTCACAAAACATGTTTAACTCTGCCGCATTTTTGCGCCTGTCCCAAGTCAGGAGCCTATGGCCTTTATTAGTCTTGTATGTTTTTTTTTTAATTTTAGCTCATTTATATGTTTCGGAGTTTAGTGTGACGTCCATTTTCACTGAACTAGTACACTTTTTTGTTTAGGGGCCAGCTGAAGCCCTCCTCCGGGTGTGCGGGATTTTCTCGCTGTGTCGAAGACCCATTGGTTGCCTTGGGCTGTTTTCTGCTCTTTGGTCGGGTTGTTGTCTCTTTGAAACATTCCCCATTTCCATTCTCAATTTATTCAGAAGCCAAATTAAGGTGTCAAATATAAGAATAAAGAAGCTGGGACTATTATAGCTTGGATAGTTCCAGAAAGAAGTTATGAACTATTTTGAATAATGTATGACATACATTTTTGATGATGGAAGTTTTTAACGACCTTGACTGGCTATACAGCCCTCGCACGGTCGGCCTTGGCTTGCGCCTTTTTGGGCATTTAAATAATTTGTTTTTATAGGTAACAGTTGTGTGTCGATCTTTGCAAACATTACCAATAAATTATATCTTTTACCAATTTCACTGATTTTAAAGTACTAAGAATCTGCATAGTTTTTAAGAAAAAAAATGTTTTTTTCTTAAGTAAAATGAAGTTCTGTCATCAATTCAATTTTCTTACCAATCCTTGGTATACAAAGGGAGGTAATTACTAGAGAAATAAATTTTCATGTTGCATTTGTATTATAAATCTTATCTGCATGATATAGGAAGACAACATATATTCAAATCCTTGATAAAACACTTTTAACAAAAAAATTGTAATAATCCTTGATAAAGGTACTTTAGTATGGGGTTCTTTTCTATGAAGGAAGTCAAAGACTTTAGTGTTATGTATACATAGTTGTTTCAGAGACATATATGTCTCTGGTTGTTTCAAACATTGGCAAACATAGTAGTAGTAATTGGATGTGAAATCACAGTTCCAATTCGGGCACGTGACGAGTAAAGATGTTTTCATTTAGGTCAGCGCTCATATCGTAGAAATTCGTTTCATAAAATGTACATTTCTATAAATAGTTCATCAAGCGTAATCTTTCAAAACAGAAATCCTACAGTCATCAAAAATAGAAATTAATAGATTTAAACAAACTAAAATGCCAAGGAGGAAGAAAACAGGTGAGAAAAAACATGGAACAATGCATGTCACAGTGATTTGCATATGTGTTTGTCTCTGTAAGTTGACTTAGTTGTGAGTGTAACCGAAGAGCATGATTGATAATTTGTTATTACAAAATTGTTTGTTTAGAGACGATTCTTCGATTCTTTCATTTAGTTTTTCCTGTTAGAAAAGTTTTAAGGCCTAGCATCCACTAGATCCCGTTTACCAGGTTTCTTCACGTGTGATTAACTTTCAATTTGTTTGCAGCAGCTGATGAAAATGCGAATATTTGACCCAGTCACCCTGCATAAATAATTTTTACTGCATATTCAAAGATTTATTGCTGTTAGAACATTTCATACATTATACTTTTAATCATCAAGGACACACGGAATTGATGTGTACACCTGTTTCACCATAAGGGTAAATTACATTATGTATACAATAAGTCTTTTGTGTTGATAGACATATCACAAGAATGTGCATATATCAATTAAGATCTCTGTATACGGTATATATAATAAAAGTCAAATGCATTTTGTGAGCAATGGTATGGATTAAACAATAAAATGAGCTTAAATATACATGTATACATGATTATTATGATAATTTGATTTAATAAATGAAAAAAACTTGCTAATTATATAATTAGCGAACTCAAGGAGGTTATAACTGCATGGTATGATCAACACATAAAATGTTAAAATTTAAGTATCCCTTTTACTTGAAAGAATAAACAGATTATTTGAACAATACTTGAATTATTTGTGACGAGTGAACCAACACCTTCTAACGGAAAAGCTGGTAGAGTAACCAAGATGGATACCGAAGTATGCTGCGGTTGTCTTAAAACCTCATGGAAATATAATATGTAGAGACAACAACATCTGGGTTACCGCAAGGTGATAGTTTTATTGAGTCTACATGTTTCGCCACTTACGGTGGCGTCTTCAGGACAATTTAAACATAGAAAACAAATACTGAAGTACATAAAATGCGGTGCATATGGGGTTACAAAGGTTAACAAGACGTAACGTCACAATGATTGATTTGACAACTTTAAAATGAAAGTGAAAGTAAAAGTTAATAATGCATTGTCAGTGTCTATTCCAAAATGGACAACACCTCACAGGACATTCCGTACCATTCCAAAAGGCTTCACTCGGAAAGAGGTACTACTTCCAATTGCGTCGGGAATGTTGTAAGATGTATGGTAGTCGCACATGTAGGGCATGGTGGAAGTTGTGGTGAATTGGTTACATTTTGCGGTTGTGGTACACTATCCATGTTGCAAGTTTATTTCAACAATAATCGTGCGGTTCTGTGGTTCAGTACGTTTTGCGGTGGTCTTCTTTTTCGCGGGTTTTCCTTTTCTTCGAGGTATGGGCGGTTTCTTCAGTGAGGTTGGTGGTAGAATGGAACTGGTCGGTAGACATGAGGCTAACGGTTGTAACTACAACGCAGGACGGCTAAGGTGGATCGTGTGCGGATGCAGGGGTTCACAGAAAAATAAATAATTTGTGACGAGTGAACCAACACCTTCTAACGGAAAAGCTGGTAGAGTAACCAAGATGGATACCGAAGTATGCTGCGGTTGTCTTAAAACCTCATGGAAATATAATATGTAGAGACAACAACATCTGGGTTACCGCAAGGTGATAGTTTTATTGAGTCTACATGTTTCGCCACTTACGGTGGCGTCTTCAGGACAATTTAAACATAGAAAACAAATACTGAAGTACATAAAATGCTTGAATTATTCAAATGTAACTCAAATTGCTCTACCCTCAGTTCTAATGTCAAGTTATTGCAATTGATAAGTTCTGGTTGTTTAAATCAGAGACATATAATACATATGTATTACTTGTATATGTCTCTGTTTGAATAAATTCTTTTCAATGATAATCATAATGGTGTTTGTCTGATGCTTTTGCCTTTCAGGTGTCAAAATAATAGGTATTTTACATATTGAAATTGAACAGAAAATGAAAGTACCAAAATTTTCCATGCCAAAAATTAACCACTGCTGTTTTTATGAAATTCATCAAAATATTCTTATACTATAATATCCTGATTTACAGTATTTATATGCAGGACTAGCAGAGTGAGTGTCTTTAAGTATTGAATCCTGAGTATATATTTTTTTCCTCTTCACTACAGATGCAACTGAAGATGGTAGTGGAGATTCGGTTCCAACAAAGAAATCTAAACTTGGATCACAGATTGATGGTGTAACAGTCCGATGGGAATGGGAAGGAGATAAATCTACCTGGACAAAGTACTCAGATGATAAAAATGAAAATATTACTGATGCTTTCAATTCAAAGAAACCATCTGTGAGTTGAAGTAAATAAAATTATTGAATGAAGAAAATATACCTTTTACAGTACCTATCATACTATATGTAGATCAAACAAAATATAACTTCTTCAGAACAAAGTAAATGTAACTATTACTGTTCAAAGTTATATTAAAGTTTAAAGTTAATACAAATATTTCAGTGCAAAGTAAATACATATATTTTACAAAGTGTAACCATTACATGTATAACAGTACATGGTTATATTTTTTTTTTCTCAGAAATGTTACAAATTCTAGTTTATTAGTTAGAAAAATTCCAGTCAAATGAATTGGTTATCATGCGCTATATGGTTATTATACAACTTTGTACAATGTTCAATACAGTTTGGTGAATATTGTTCATGTTGTGATTATCTATGCGATTTATTGCTATTTAAACTTGCTAATACATGTAATATGATTGTAAACTATTGTAAATTTAGATGAGCTTTGATGTTGCTGGTGGTGCCAGTTTAGAGGTTGTCTTTGACAAAATGGTACAGAAGAATAGTAAGACTGGATGGTCAAGAAGGGTCAGATTAGCAGTTAAAGATGATAAGAGTGATGGTATGTTTAATGTGAAATGTCAATTTCAAGTAAATTATATGTACCTCAAAGCTTTCATTTTCTTCCTTTGTTCATCCGAAAATAAATATTGTCCTTCCTTGAAGAATAATTACCAAAAAAGGGTATATAGGGCTGAGTCCTCACTAGGATTTTATTTATATAAATTATATAAATCATATGCATATCAAGTACAACAACTGATGAAAACATCTATGTTTCCCCCTTTAAATCCTCAAATATCGACATAGAAAAATAAATAAGAGGTGATGTGGTTTTCTGTAAAGATACTTGATAAAAATTTCTACCGCAAAACACTTTTTGTATAAGGCACAAATACCCATATGTTAGACTACTCAACTTCAAAAAAACTAACTGATATTGTTTAATATTAAAGTTTGGATGATGGGTATGTCAGCAACGAATGGCCAGCCTTCAACAATGAGCAAAACCAATACCATGTATTCAGCTTTAAAAGACTTGACAAAAAGTGAAACAATTAAAACTAGAAAACTAACGGCCTGATTTATGGCAAAACAAATATGACAAACAGCAACGAATGACAAACACTGAATTACAGGCTCCTGAATTGGGACAGGCACATAAAGAATGAGTTAAACATGTTTGTGAGTGCTTAACCTTCTCCCTGTCAATGTGGTGTAACAACACAACATGAGAACCAACTAATTATCTCTTTTAGATTACTATGTGTGGCAGTGGGAGGACGAGAAGGGTAAATGGAATCCATACAATGCTGAACATTCCATTGAAATAGAGAATGCCAGAATTTCTGGGAAGGATCTCAATATAGTGGCTAACCACAGAGCTTATGATATAGACTTTGCTCAAATGGAACAGGTTAATACAGTCACCAATGTAGCTCGTACTATAGACAGATGTCAATCTGGTGAGGAAAGTTAGAAGAATTGTTTTATTGGAAAGTTAATAATTAAAATACAAATGATCATGATGTGAAAATGTGGAGGAAAAAGAAATAATAAGTTTAGACTTGGAATATTCTTTTTGGATATTAACAATACATATTATTCTTATATCAGAAACGGTAGTATTTGTTTGACCATGTAAATTAAATTTTGATACCCGGTAGGCTTTAATATTATTTAATTAAATATGATACTTTGTAATTTTATATAGATATAAGAAGATGTGGTATGAGTGCCACTAAGACAACTCTCCATCAAAGTCACAATTTGTAAAAGTAAACCATTATAGATCAAAGTACTGCCTTCAACATGGAACCTTGGCTCACACAGAACAGCAATCTATAAAGGGCCCCAAAAATGACTAGTGTAAAACCATTCAAACAGGAAAACCAACGGTCTAATCTAAATAAAAAATGAGAAACGAGAAACAGTCTATATGTAGAATTTTTTACAGATGCAGTTGAACCAATAGATTCACCAAAGAAAGTAGCACCTAAAAGAGTATCAAGTAGAGGAGATGCTGTGAAAGTGAAAGTAGAACCTGAGGATGAACCTATGACCTCAAAGTCAGCTGGTAAAGGCAAAGGGAAAGCTGCTAAAAGTGGAAGGAAGAAAGGAAAATCTGGAGCTGATGAAAATGGCTCTGAAGGAAAGGAAATGGGTACGAAAAGCTTTTCACTTTTTATATCCAGATATCTAATACAGACTTATCGGAGATGCTATAAGAATGTGTTCGGTTTTTTTTTTTGTGATTTTCATGATATTCTATAGAAACATTATAGTACAGTAGACTCCACCTAATCAGATATCGGCTAAACGAATATATCGGCTATTGTAATATTATTTCAAAACACCAAACCCTTTCCTATATGTTAAATGTAAATTTTATCGGGTACCGTACCTACTCGCTTATTAGTCGGAAAATTGGGAGTAAAATTCATAATCCAGAGAGGGGGACCGACTAATAGACGAGATCTAGCGACCAGAGGAAAAATCCAAGCTTGAGAAAAGTCAGGAGTGAATTTCCTGGTCAAAACTACGTTTTTGATTGCCAAACCTACATAAATCAATAAATAAAAAGTTTTTGTTGAAAATAAATGACTACATTACTAGCTTTGTGTTTTATTTGTTCTTTGGTAAACATTTTCTGCAAATTCGTGTTGAAATTCTACTGTTTCCGGTTTGTGTATTGATTTTCATGGTCACATGGTTTTCCTATAAACCCAAAAGAAGAGCCAAGAACCAAAAATGAAAAGGAGATAACAATGTACCAAATATGTGAAAGGATGTTTTCAGCGGTGTTATTGTGTCATTATTGTGATATCATGATATCAATTCAATGCTTATAAATCATATAATAATCAAAAAATAATTTTAAGATTCATTCCCAAAATCAAAATATTATTCATTAAAGTGTCTCAGGTAAGCAAAAATTACAAAATTGATTGACAAGCCAATATAATCCATTGATAACCCCAATTAAGAGACAAAGAGTTGTATTTACTAAAGGTGTGAAAACTATCAGTGATAGGTAAACAGATGACACTAATGAGTTGGAGTTAGTTATTTTAATATATTGATAAGCTTCACTTAATTTTTTTAATCCTTTAATCATCACAATATAATAAGAATTATGAAGTGTACATGCTCATTTAACACCGAGTTATGTATGCTGTGAAAAATATTTTCATCAAGTGTTGATTGACTTTAAATTTTTCAGGTTCATATTGGTTTATATTCGCTTTTCTCAAACAATAGGTTGTTAGTCATACCCTACAAAATCATTGATGCATTACGTAAACAACACATGGCTAATCTAACATTTGAACAGTGAACAAAACAAGAGAAATGAATACATCTTTATTATTAACAGCAATATAAATTATCATGATGAGCATCAACTAAATTCAAACCAAACATTAATGCAGAAATGAATATTATTCCTGGATTTGCATTGGTTCTACCGGTGTTCAGTTACTGTCAGCTGAAAAAAAATGCCCAAATTTTGTCCGACTTATACGAGGGTCAAGACTAAATCCTTAGAATTTGGAGCTGAAAAGGGCCCCCGACTTATAGTAGGATCGACTATTAGGCGAGTTTATACGGTAAATGAATATTGGATATACAAATATATCGGCAAATCGGATAGGAATATTCATAAAAATTCTGTCAAAACCATGCACAATCCGATATTTTCAATGTTTTTCTGACAGGAAATGAGGCAGGAAGTTATGCAAGTACAATCTTGCAGACAAGAAAATTTTGTTTCTGCTTAATAAAAGGGACTATTTCCTAATAAGATTTTTGTCTTTATTCATTGTTATACGACCGCAAATTTTCGTATATTGGTATCACATCGTCGTCGTCAGTGTCATCCGAAGACATTTGGTTTCTGGACAATAACTTTAGTAAGTGTAAATAGAAATCTATGAAATTTAAACACAAGGTTTATAACCACAAAAGGAAGGTTGAGATTGATTTTAGGGGTTATAGTCCTAACAATTTAGGAATTAGGGGCCAGAAAGTGGCCCTAATAAGCATTTTTCTAGTTTCCAGACAATAACTTGTGGAACGGTGTATGGATCTCTCTGACTGAAATTATACCACAAGTTTCCATACTACAAAGGGATGGTTAGGATTGGCTTTGGGGGGTTATGGCTCAAATCGTTTAGGAATAAGGGGCAAAAAAGGGGGAAAAACAAGGGTTTCTTGGTTAACGGATAATTAAAAAAAAGTACAATGTTATGTTTGGATTACCTCCCTTACATGTTTTTAAATTATGTTTAAAGAAATGTTGTATTGTCTTGGAGTGATTAGCTGTCAATTTATTTTTAGAAGTTACTATTCAAAAATGCTGATTAAGGAATATTAATTTTAGCCATGGTTATGTATGTCATTTTCTATTTTAAGACTTTTATGATGTATTTAAATGGGTAATTATGGTTACAAACTCCATAGGAAATTTGAAATGAGATTATGACCATATCTTGAGGGAAAGAATTTTTTTGGGGGGAAAAGGGGGGGGGGGGGGTTGGAGGGGAAAAAGAAATTGTGAGAGGGGGACAATTTTTTCTCATTTCAGTTTCACAAATTAAAAAAGAAAATTTCTTCAAATTTTTTTTTTTTTTTTTTTTTGCATAAAAAAAAGAGGGGTGGGGGTGGGTAAACATTTTTTTTTTGGGGGGGGGGGGGGTCAATTTGCAACAGCATAGTGTATTGCACAAAAGCAAAAAATTGTATATATATTCAAATCATATAACCAATTCTAAGTTCTTTGACTACAGTTATTCTGTGTCAGAAACCTATTATGTGTCAAATATTTAATTACAATCCAAATTCAGACCTGTATCAAGCGCGAATATTGTGTCCATTTTTGCCCAAACTGTTCAGGGTTGGACCTCTGCGGTCGTATACAGCTGCGCTCAGCGAAGCAATTTTTCTTCCTTTGCAATGTGAATAAGATGCCCTTACAGTTCAAATGGATGAATTTTATTTAAAAATACCAGTGCAGTACGTTGGGAGAAATTTTGATAAAACTTGTGTGTTCACAGAATCCGAAATATAATCTTAAACTGAATAATTTATTGCAATGTACATATAAATCCCTTCAGAACAGAGAAATCTGACTTTTATCAGATATAATTATGTAACATGTGCATGACCACATGTCATGGACGCCATTTTCCCTTGTTTACATTTTAAAATGTGTAGCCTCGAGAACCATGACCCGAACAATAACAGAATCTTTAGAAAACTTAAACTTGATGCATTATTTATTCATCAAACTTTATTATCTTCATTGATAAACAAACTAAATTTCGTAATTTAAAGAAATAAAATATATAACAAGTAAGATTTCAGTGAGTTTAGAGACTGTGACAAATGATAGTGAAAAAATGATTTGCTGAACTTCAGACATGTAATCATTTTAAATCTAAATTTAAGCCTCTTTCCATATCATTTCTATTGAATGATAGAAACAAATTATTTTTTAATTAAATATCATCAAAGAAATAGTTTAATTAGTCATCATGTTAATAAGACAAGCTGATAAAAATTTCACAGAGTGTGAGCAAGATTTTACTGTTACCTCTGTTGTCACTACATAAATAGACATGCATAAATATGGAGTATTACTTCATTTATGAAACAAATAAAGACACAAACTATGGATGGTAGATATATATTCACATAAATAATTAGGAAATTTGATTTATTTAAATAAACAAAGGATTAAAAGGCAGAAAACAAATAGTATTACATAACAAGCTGATCAATTTTTAACTCAAACATCTTGGTGGTGTACCTGAAAAAATCAAGAAAAAAACGTCTTAACCTTTTCTTAAGCAGTGGTCAGGGCTAGTTACATCTCAGGATTATGAATCTTTTTTTTTTTGCAGAATATTCAATAAGTATACATTTATTGTCTAATTGAATATATCGGGTAATGGCATATTTTTTGCTGATGTTTTGCGTATCCGATTTGCCAGAGTCTACTGTACTTACACATTCTCGCAATTTTGTAGACATCACATATTTTAATTAAACAAGGACGTTAAGCAACCAACAATCAATCAATCAATTAATTTAACAGTGTAAACAATAGTCATTAGATATTATGTCCCACTCACCAACAAAAGATGAGTGCCTATACCATTTGTCAAGCTTTCATGTTTTGATTTACAGTGAAGACAGTTGTCATGAAAGACAAGGCACCAGTAGATCAGAATGTACTCATTCATTAGGTAAAGATCATTTTTATTTTATTTACAGTGAAGACAGTTGTCATTGAAGGCAAGTCACCAGTAGATCAGAATGTACTCATTCATTAGGCAAAGCTCATGTTTATTTTATTAACAGTGAAGACAGTTGTCATTGAAGGCAAGTCACCAGTAGATCAGAATGTACTCATTCATTAGGCAAAGCTCATGTTTATTTTATTTACAGTGAAGACAGTTGTCATTAAAGACAAGGCACCAGTAGATCAGAATGTACTCATTCATTAGGTAAAGCTCATGTTTATTTTATTTACAATGAAGACAGTTGTCATTAAAGACAAGGCATCAGTTGATCAGAATGTACTTATTCATTAGGTAAAGTTCATGTTTATTTTATTTACAGAGAAGACAGTTGTCATTAAGGACAAGGCACCAGTAGATCAGAATGTACTCATTCATTAGGCAAAGCTCATGTTTATTTTATTTACAGTGAAGACAGTTGTCATTAAAGACAACGCACCAGTTGATCAGAATGTACTCATTCATTAGGCAAAGCTCATGTTTATTTTATTTACAGTGAAGACAGTTGTCATTAAAGACAAGGCACCAGTTGATCAGAATGTACTCATTCATTAGGTAAAGATCATTTTTATTTTATTTACAGTGAAGACAGTTGTCATTGAAGGCAAGTCACCAGTAGATCAGAATGTACTCATTCATTAGGCAAAGCTCATGTTTATTTTATTTACAGTGAAGACAGCTGTCATTGAAGGCAAGTCACCAGTAGATCAGAATGTACTCATTCATTAGGCAAAGCTCGTGTTTATTTTATTTACAGTGAAGACAGTTGTCATTAAAGACAAGGCACCAGTAGATCAGAATGTACTCATTCATTAGGTAAAGCTCATGTTTATTTTATTTACAATGAAGACAGTTGTCATTAAAGACAAGGCACCAGTTGATCAGAATGTACTTATTCATTAGGTAAAGTTCATGTTTATTTTATTTACAGAGAAGACAGTTGTCATTAAGGACAAGGCACCAGTAGATCAGAATGTACTCATTCATTAGGCAAAGCTCATGTTTATTTTATTAACAGTGAAGACAGTTGTCATTGAAGGCAAGTCACCAGTAGATCAGAATGTACTCATTCATTAGGCAAAGCTCATGTTTATTTTATTTACAGTGAAGACAGTTGTCATTAAAGACAAGGCACCAGTTGATCAGAATGTACTCATTCATTAGGCAAAGCTCATGTTTATTTTATTTACAATGAAGACAGTTGTCATTAAAGACAAGGCACCAGTTGATCAGAATGTACTTATTCATTAGGTAAAGTTCATGTTTATTTTATTTACAGAGAAGACAGTTGTCATTAAGGACAAGGCACCAGTAGATCAGAATGTACTCATTCATTAGGCAAAGCTCATGTTTATTTTATTTACAGTGAAGACAGTTGTCATTAAAGACAACGCACCAGTTGATCAGAATGTACTCATTCATTAGGCAAAGCTCATGTTTATTTTATTTACAGTGAAGACAGTTGTCATTAAAGACAAGGCACCAGTTGATCAGAATGTACTCATTCATTAGGCAAAGCTCATGTTTATTTTATTTACAATGAAGACAGTTGTCATTAAAGACAAGACACCAGTTGATCAGAATGTACTCATTCATTAGGCAAAGCTCATGTTTATTTTATTTACAGTGAAGACAGTTGTCATTAAAGGCAAAGCACCTGTAGATTCAGAATGTACTCAGATGTTAGGCAAAGCGCATGTATTTTATGAAGGAAAAGATATTTGGGATTGTATGCTTAACCAGGTATGTATAATAAATCAAATTGAAACTATTTTCCACATATATTATATATGCAAACTGTATGTTAAATATTACAAATTCAGGACATGTTGAAATATATAATGCATGTTTAGCATTAAAAACATTGTTTGAACAAAAATTATGTTTATTTTGGTCATGTTACTTAATAAAGGTTTCATAATGAGTAAGAATTGGACATATCCTCATATTGAGCTGATTTTTATTATGTGAGTCTACTATGATGAGTAACAGATGGAGTTTATGTTTGGTTCCACTTTTTTTCTAAACACCTTCACATATTGAGCTGGTGTTTTCTTATGTGAGTCTACTATGATGAGTTACAGAACAAGTTAATGATTGATTCCGCTCAGCTGATTGATGCCAAAATTACGGACTTTTGACTTTGAAAATTTTCTGAAAATAACAGTTACATTGTGTATGCAGACTTTTTTTCTAAACACCTTAACATATTGAGGTGATTTTTAGTATGTGATTCGTTGAACATTTAAATTGGTAGTTTACCTATACCCATGAAATACACGATAATTGATATCCCACAAATAATAATGAATCCACAGTCATGACAGTAAATAAGTTATTTAAAAGAAGCAATGTATGAAAGGAAAAACAAAAATCTTTTGAATTAAAATGATTTTGTTCATCGATTTCAGACAAATGTTGGGAACAACAACAACAAATACTTTATGATACAGTTATTAGAGGAAGACAGTAAGAAATCGTACCATGTTTGGTTTAGATGGGGTCGTGTTGGTTATAAAGGACAGAATAACCTTGTTCCATGTGGTAGTAATATAGATCTGGCTAAGAAAACATTCTGCAAAAAGTAAGTCTTGTTCCAAAAGGTAAGACTTATAAGCCATTGATTCCTGATATATGAAATGAAAGCATTTTAAGTGCCAATCTGCCAAAGAATCAGGCAGTGGTGAAAACATGACAAATAAAAACCCACTCAAGTTTACATTAATTTAAGTTCAAAATGTATAATTGTGCACGCATATAACGTTCGTTTCCTTTTCCTGTTCTGGTAATTCAAGATACAATTTGGTTGAAATGCACTAGAAATTACCAATTGAGGGGAGCTAACTCTGTAATTTGCTATCATTCTAACCAAAGATTAGAGATTTATCAAAATTAACAGACATGCAGAAACGAAAGACCTACCATTTCTAACTCAGGATGAAGGTAACTTCAAAATAGAATGGTTAGGTCGGTGGATTTTGTTCAAAAGCTTCCTTTACTGTCAATTCAGAAAGAAATGCATGCATTTGTTATTACGAATCCTTGATACTGGCAAAAATGCAAAATCTAAATAATGCGATTGCAAAAATTTTATGAAGGAATTGAATACTGAACTTATCAATGCATGTTTTTATTATTGCAAACTTGAAACTGTCACATTTTTCACATTAATAAAAACATTGCAATAATTTCTGAATTTACAATATTTACATAAAATGACACGTCATCCTTTGCCTACTGAGAGATTGATATTTGTGACGTGTCAGGATGGATTTTACTGTTGGTGCATGTTCATATTTCCTTTTGACAAAAAACATGAGAACTTGATAGTGAATGAATGTAAGAAAGCAAAGTAAAACACCATCAAACAAACAAATTAAAGACCAACTCTATTATAATGTCTTTGGCAATATGATGGTTCATCTATCTGTGTGGGGCAGAGTGGTCTAGAAATCAGAAGTATGGTAATATTTCTCTATGTAAAAAAGAAATTTCGAAAATTTAATACAGTCAAACCTGTTGCATTACTATCAGTACATATCTGTTTGATGACTATTTTGAGGCCCTGCCCCCTAGGTCATGGTCCAGTGACTTTGAATTAATGAGCAATTTTCAATGTTAAGTTTTCTGCTTAAGTCAGTTTGACAAGAACTACTTGTGACAGATCGATGATATTTTGTATAAAGTTGCATTACTATCAGTACATTTCAGTTTGTCGATCATTTCAAGTTCAATGCCCTGCCCACAAGATCATGGTCCAGTGACTTTGAAATATTAAGCAATGTTGCTGTCCATCAGATTGTCTTTATCTGAATTTTGTGTGAACAGGCAAACATATCTCTGTGTCAACAGTATATTCCTTAATAGAGGTGACCTTTGTTGCCGGATTGATTGTAATAGGTTAAATCTATGCACGATATATTAAATATTTGCACTCTGCTGTATCTAAGTAAATATAAAAATGAAAGAAGATTTTGTATACTTGCCAATTAGACAACAATCCACCAGAGCTGAAACGAAGTGGTAGTAAGCAATTATAGGCACATGTACAGCCTTCAACAAAAAAATATCATACTGCATAGGCTGCTATAAAAGGCTCCGACATGAGAAATGTGAAACAATTTAAACGAGAAAACTAACTGCTTAATTTATAACAAAACAATTTACAAAAAGCAAATATGACAGACATGAACCAGTGACAACCACTGTACTTCAAGCTCCTGACTTGGGACAGGCACATAAAGAATGTTAAATAAATATTCATTGTATAGTTGAAAATCTTTTTTATTGCAGAAGCCGTTTAATTGTTTTATTCCTACAGTGAATGTGGATTAAATATTTGTAATTTAAGTATATTATTTATTCTTTATAAGATTTACAGATAAAACAAAAAATGACTGGGCCAATCGAAGCAAGTTTGTTCACTCCCCTGGGAAATATGATATGTTAGCCATGGATTATGGTGAAGATAGCAAGGTCAGTCAAAGAAATGAAAATAGTTGAATGAAGTTCAGAATATTTGAAAAAACAATTGAAATGTTCCAGAAAACTGCTTAACAATAAGCTCCTTTAATTATAAAAATAAGAAGATGTGGTATGATTGCCAATAAGACAACTCTCCACAAGAGACCAAATGACACAGACATTAACAACTATAGGTCACTGTACGGCCTTTCGACAATGAGTAAAACCCATACTGCATAGTCAGCTATAAAAGGCCCTGAAATGACAAATGTAAAACAATTCAAACGAGAAAACTAACAGCCTGATTTATGTACAAAATTTTGAACAAACAAATAGAATAAACAGCAACAACAACAACCACTGAAATACAGGCTCCTGACTTGGGACAGGCACATACAGAACAAACAAATAGAATAAACAGCAACAACAACCACCACTGAAATACAGGCTCCTGACTTGGGACAGGCACATACAGAACAAACAAATAGAATAAACAGCAACAACAACCACCACTGAAATACAGGCTCCTGACTTGGGACAGGTACATACAGAACAAACAAATAGAATAAACAGCAACAACAACCACCACTGAAATACAGGCTCCTGACTTGGGACAGGCACATACAGAACAAACAAATAGAATAAACAGCAACAACAACCACCACTGAAATACAGGCTCCTGACTTGGGACAGGTACATACAGAACAAACAAATAGAATAAACAGCAACAACAACCACCACTGAAATACAGGCTCCTGACTTGGGACAGGCACATACAGAACAAACAAATAGAATAAACAGCAACAACAACCACCACTGAAATACAGGCTCCTGACTTGGGACAGGCACATACAGAACAAACAAATAGAATAAACAGCAACAACAACCACCACTGAAATACAGGCTCCTGACTTGGGACAGGTACATACAGAACAAACAAATAGAATAAACAGCAACAACAACCACCACTGAAATACAGGCTCCTGACTTGGGACAGGCACATACAGAACAAACAAATAGAATAAACAGCAACAACAACCACCACTGAAATACAGGCTCCTGACTTGGGACAGGTACATACAGAACAAACAAATAGAATAAACAGCAACAACAACCACCACTGAAATACAGGCTCCTGACTTGGGACAGGCACATACAGAACAAACAAATAGGATAAACAACAACAACAACCACCACTGAAATACAGGCTCCTGACTTGGGACAGGTACATACAGAACAAACAAATAGAATAAACAGCAACAACAACACCCACTGAAATACAGGCTCCTGACTTGGGACAGGCACATACAGAACAAACAAATAGGATAAACAGCAACAACAACAACCACTGAAATACAGGCTCCTGACTTGGGACAGGTACATACAGAACAAACAAATAGAATAAACAGCAGCAACAACCACCACTGAAATACAGGCTCCTGACTTGGGACAGGTACATACAGAACAAACAAATAGAATAAACAGCAACAACAACCACCACTGAAATACAGGCTCCTGACTTGGGACAGGCACATACAGAACAAACAAATAGAATAAACAGCAACAACAACCACCACTGAAATACAGGCTCCTGACTTGGGACAGGCACATACAGAACAAACAAATAGAATAAACAGCAACAACAACACCCACTGAAATACAGGCTCCTGACTTGGGACAGGCACATACAGAACAAACAAATAGAATAAACAGCAACAACAACACCCACTGAAATACAGGCTCCTGACTTGGGACAGGCACATACAGAACAAACAAATAGAATAAACAGCAACAACAACCACCACTGAAATACAGGCTCCTGACTTGGGACAGGCACATACAGAACAAACAAATAGAATAAACAACAACAACAACCACCACTGAAATACAGGCTCCTGACTTGGGACAGGTACATACAGAACAAACAAATAGAATAAACAGCAACAACAACCACCACTGAAATACAGGCTCCTGACTTGGGACAGGTACATACAGAACAAACAAATAGGATAAACAACAACAACAACCACCACTGAAATACAGGCTCCTGACTTGGGACAGGTACATACAGAACAAACAAATAGAATAAACAGCAACAACAACCACCACTGAAATACAGGCTCCTGACTTGGGACAGGTACATACAGAACAAACAAATAGAATAAACAGCAACAACAACCACCACTGAAATACAGGCTCCTGACTTGGGACAGGTACATACAGAACAAACAAATAGAATAAACAGCAACAACAACCACCACTGAAATACAGGCTCCTGACTTGGGACAGGCACATACAGAACAAACAAATAGAATAAACAGCAACAACAACCACCACTGAAATACAGGCTCCTGACTTGGGACAGGTACATACAGAACAAACAAATAGAATAAACAGCAACAACAACCACCACTGAAATACAGGCTCCTGACTTGGGACAGGCACATACAGAACAAACAAATAGAATAAACAGCAACAACAACACCCACTGAAATACAGGCTCCTGACTTGGGACAGGTACATACAGAACAAACAAATAGAATAAACAGCAACAACAACCACCACTGAAATACAGGCTCCTGACTTGGGACAGGCACATACAGAACAAACAAATAGAATAAACAGCAACAACAACCACTGAAATACAGGCTCCTGACTTGGGACAGGCACATACAGAACAAACAAATAGAATAAACAGCAACAACAACCACCACTGAAATACAGGCTCCTGACTTGGGACAGGTACATACAGAACAAACAAATAGAATAAACAGCAACAACAACCACCACTGAAATACAGGCTCCTGACTTGGGACAGGCACATACAGAACAAACAAATAGAATAAACAGCAACAACAACCACCACTGAAATACAGGCTCCTGACTTGGGACAGGTACATACAGAACAAACAAATAGAATAAACAGCAACAACAACCACCACTGAAATACAGGCTCCTGACTTGGGACAGGCACATACAGAACAAACAAATAGAATAAACAGCAACAACAACCACCACTGAAATACAGGCTCCTGACTTGGGACAGGTACATACAGAACAAACAAATAGAATAAACAGCAGCAACAACCACCACTGAAATACAGGCTCCTGACTTGGGACAGGCACATACAGAACAAACAAATAGAATAAACAGCAACAACAACCACCACTGAAATACAGGCTCCTGACTTGGGACAGGCACATACAGAACAAACAAATAGAATAAACAGCAACAACAACCACCACTGAAATACAGGCTCCTGACTTGGGACAGGTACATACAGAACAAACAAATAGAATAAACAGCAACAACAACCACCACTGAAATACAGGCTCCTGACTTGGGACAGGCACATACAGAACAAACAAATAGAATAAACAGCAACAACAACCACCACTGAAATACAGGCTCCTGACTTGGGACAGGCACATACAGAACAAACAAATAGAATAAACAGCAACAACAACCACCACTGAAATACAGGCTCCTGACTTGGGACAGGTACATACAGAACAAACAAATAGAATAAACAGCAACAACAACCACCACTGAAATACAGGCTCCTGACTTGGGACAGGCACATACAGAACAAACAAATAGAATAAACAGCAACAACAACCACCACTGAAATACAGGCTCCTGACTTGGGACAGGTACATACAGAACAAACAAATAGAATAAACAGCAACAACAACCACCACTGAAATACAGGCTCCTGACTTGGGACAGGTACATACAGAACAAACAAATAGAATAAACAGCAACAACAACCACCACTGAAATACAGGCTCCTGACTTGGGACAGGTACATACAGAACAAACAAATAGAATAAACAGCAACAACAACCACCACTGAAATACAGGCTCCTGACTTGGGACAGGCACATACAGAACAAACAAATAGAATAAACAGCAACAACAACCACCACTGAAATACAGGCTCCTGACTTGGGACAGGCACATACAGAACAAACAAATAGAATAAACAGCAACAACAACCACCACTGAAATACAGGCTCCTGACTTGGGACAGGTACATACAGAACAAACAAATAGAATAAACAGCAACAACAACCACCACTGAAATACAGGCTCCTGACTTGGGACAGGCACATACAGAACAAACAAACAGGATAAACAGCAACAACAACCACCACTGAAATACAGGCTCCTGACTTGGGACAGGCACATACAGAACAAACAAATAGAATAAACAGCAACAACAACCACCACTGAAATACAGGCTCCTGACTTGGGACAGGTACATACAGAACAAACAAATAGAATAAACAGCAACAACAACCACCACTGAAATACAGGCTCCTGACTTGGGACAGGTACATACAGAACAAACAAATAGAATAAACAGCAACAACAACCACCACTGAAATACAGGCTCCTGACTTGGGACAGGTACATACAGAACAAACAAATAGAATAAACAGCAACAACAACCACCACTGAAATACAGGCTCCTGACTTGGGACAGGTACATACAGAACAAACAAATAGAATAAACAGCAACAACAACCACCACTGAAATACAGGCTCCTGACTTGGGACAGGTACATACAGAACAAACAAATAGAATAAACAGCAACAACAACCACCACTGAAATACAGGCTCCTGACTTGGGACAGGTACATACAGAACAAACAAATAGAATAAACAGCAACAACAACCACCACTGAAATACAGGCTCCTGACTTTGGACAGGCACATACAGAACAAACAAATAGAATAAACAGCAACAACAACCACCACTGAAATACAGGCTCCTGACTTGGGACAGGTACATACAGAACAAACAAATAGAATAAACAGCAACAACAACCACCACTGAAATACAGGCTCCTGACTTGGGACAGGTACATACAGAACAAACAAATAGAATAAACAGCAACAACAACCACTGAAATACAGGCTCCTGACTTGGGACAGGTACATACAGAACAAACAAATAGAATAAACAGCAACAACAACCACCGCTTAAATACAGGCTCCTGACTTGGGACAGGCACATACAGAACAAACAAATAGAATAAACAGCAACAACAACCACCACTGAAATACAGGCTCCTGACTTGGGACAGGTACATACAGAACAAACAAATAGAATAAACAGCAACAACAACCACCACTGAAATACAGGCTCCTGACTTGGGACAGGTACATACAGAACAAACAAATAGAATAAACAGCAACAACAACCACCACTGAAATACAGGCTCCTGACTTGGGACAGGTACATACAGAACAAACAAATAGAACAAACAGCAACAACAACACCCACTGAAATACAGGCTCCTGACTTGGGACAGGTACATACAGAACAAACAAACAGGATAAACAACAACAACAACCACCACTGAAATACAGGCTCCTGACTTGGGACAGGTACATACAGAACAAACAAATAGAATAAACAGCAACAACAACCACCACTGAAATACAGGCTCCTGACTTGGGACAGGTACATACAGAACAAACAAATAGAATAAACAGCAACAACAACCACCACTGAAATACAGGCTCCTGACTTGGGACAGGTACATACAGAACAAACAAATAGAATAAACAGCAACAACAACACCCACTGAAATACAGGCTCCTGACTTGGGACAGGTACATACAGAACAAACAAACAGGATAAACAACAACAACAACCACCACTGAAATACAGGCTCCTGACTTGGGACAGGTACATACAGAACAAACAAATAGAATAAACAGCAACAACAACCACCACTGAAATACAGGCTCCTGACTTGGGACAGGCACATACAGAACAAACAAATAGAATAAACAGCAACAACAACCACCACTGAAATACAGGCTCCTGACTTGGGACAGGTACATACAGAACAAACAAATAGAATAAACAGCAACAACAACCACCACTGAAATACAGGCTCCTGACTTGGGACAGGTACATACAGAACAAACAAATAGAATAAACAGCAACAACAACCACCACTGAAATACAGGCTCCTGACTTGGGACAGGTACATACAGAACAAACAAATAGAATAAACAGCAACAACAACCACCACTGAAATACAGGCTCCTGACTTGGGACAGGCACATACAGAACAAACAAATAGAATAAACAGCAACAACAACCACCACTGAAATACAGGCTCCTGACTTGGGACAGGCACATACAGAAACAAACAAACAGGATAAACAGCAACAACAACCACCACTGAAATACAGGCTCCTGACTTGGGACAGGTACATACAGAACAAACAAATAGAATAAACAGCAACAACAACCACCACTGAAATACAGGCTCCTGACTTGGGACAGGCACATACAGAACAAACAAATAGAATAAACAGCAACAACAACCACCACTGAAATACAGGCTCCTGACTTGGGACAGGCACATACAGAAACAAACAAACAGGATAAACAGCAACAACAACCACCACTGAAATACAGGCTCCTGACTTGGGACAGGCACATACAGAAACAAACAAACAGGATAAACAGCAACAACAACCACCACTGAAATACAGGCTCCTGACTTGGGACAGGTACATACAGAACAAACAAATAGAATAAACAGCAACAACAACCACCACTGAAATACAGGCTCCTGACTTGGGACAGGCACATACAGAAACAAACAAACAGGATAAACAGCAACAACAACCACCACTGAAATACAGGCTCCTGACTTGGGACAGGTACATACAGAACAAACAAATAGAATAAACAGCAACAACAACCACCACTGAAATACAGGCTCCTGACTTGGGACAGGCACATACAGAAACAAACAAACAGGATAAACAGCAACAACAACCACCACTGAAATACAGGCTCCTGACTTGGGACAGGCACATACAGAATGTGGTGGGGTTAAACTAGTTAGCATACCATTCTGATTCCCTGTCCTTACTCAGAATAATGCCTATTTAGATAAGGATTAAACTGTTGTGTATGTGATGATCGTTTACGTGCTATTATGCTATAGCTATAGTTTATATTGTACCCACACATTCTTATACATTGAATTTTTCATTATATCAAATGAAAATTTTCGTCACACATTTCTCCAAAACAACTGGACAGAATGACTTTCATATCTGGTCTGCACCTCAATAGTGAAGAGAAGTAATGGATTTTTGCAGAAACCTACTTCCTGTTTTCAGATAATTTGAATTACAAGTGTCAGTATGCTTAGCAAGACAGCCTGTGCATTCTTGTTCTGTATGTATACTAGTGAAAAGTTATAATCAACTTTCATGATTACTTTTCAGAACAAAATTTACTCATATCTCCGGTTGTAAAAAAAGTGTTTATGATTGCATATAGATACTAATGTTTTTATAAGTGATGTGTGTTTTAAAACATGGACTTACTATATTTATCATATTTGTACTTTTCTAGGGAGAAGATGTAGTAGATACTGCTGTTACAAAAGATATTAAGTATCCAGATTCAAAGTTAGACAAAAGTCTACAGGTAAATGCTGCATCACAACTAAAAAGAATGTATATTTTTCCAATCTGAAAAATCTTCTATAAGCTATGATGGAGTTTACAAAAACAAAGTTACAGATACTATTATAATGTGGCAAGTTTAGTTGTGGGAGATTTGATCTCAGTGGTGCTCATTACATAAGCCTGGTGAGAGATACAGGTTCCTTGAAGTCCTACTGGAAAGTGAAAATGTTGGAAATAATTTTATTTCTTGTTTCGTTCAAAACTTGAAAAGATATGAGGTAAATAAATTTGAGATTGTATCCAAAAATATAAGAATCTGCAGTGAGTGTCATAATATCAACATTTTTATATGTATCTGGTGAAAATTTAATCTGATTTAAAATGCCCTGGCTACAATTTTTTAGAGGCATTATGTTTTCTGGTCTGGTTGCCAACTGTCCATTATTCTGTCTGTCCATTCATCCTTCCTATATCAGGTTAACAATTTTTGGGCAAAAATAAAGTCCCTTGGGTTCAGATTTTCGGACCTCAGAAAAAAAACCAAACTTTGTAGGCATACATTATACTCCCTTTTGAGAAACCTAACTCAGGGTAATAATCCAAGTGTTATGCATAACTGAAACCAGTATATGATATTAGGGAAGCAAAATAAAGATTTATTTTGCAAAACTAGGCATACAGCCAGTTATCTATGATTTCAGTATGAACAGAAATCTTTTTTCCACACAGGCTTTTGAGTACAGTAATGGTAATTGTAATGTGATATTTATTTTCAGAACTTGATAGATTTGATATGTGATGTAAAGTCTATGGAAGATGCTGTCAAAGAAATGAAATATGATGCTAAAAAGGCTCCATTGGGTAAAGTGCTTCATTTATTTTATGTAAATATGTATACTATAATAATAAAAAGTGTTTACAATTTTTTTCTTAAGTAATCATTGAAAACATCTATTAGAGATGACAGAAATATTTAAAAACCTAGTTAAATAATTGGCAATGAAGACAGAAATATTTGAAAATCTAATTAAACTATAGGCAATGAAAGAAATATTTAAAAGTTTTTGCTTTATATTTCCGTTTCGACAGGGAAATTAACAACTGATCAAGTAAAAGCTGGTTATGCATCATTGAAGAAGATAGAAACTTGTATAAACAAAGGCGATTTTGGTCAACACTTGACACAAGCTTGTAATGAATTCTACACCAGAATACCGCATACTTTTGGGTAAGACAATTATACGAAGGTCTAACCAAGAATCAGAATCAACACTTTTGTTTAGGGCTGTTCCATTAAAAATATACAATGGACCCAGGGAAGGGCAATTTGAATTTGTCACATTTGGTGGGTTTGACTTAAATTATGGTGTACAAGTTAAAAATGTATGCAGGTCTCCAAAATTCCTTCGATAGGTGGTTACTCGGTTTTAGAAGTGCCATCCCTGGATACTGGGTACTATGTATGTTTTCATGGAATGAAGTTCTTTACTTTGTGTTCTTTTAAAAAGGGATTTCTCATTTTGATCTGACAGAAACTTAGAATATGAATACAACATGGTTATACTTTGACAGCATTTATTCATTCTGAAAGTCAACGTTTGAAAGCAGTCATATTTGCCAGAGATAAATATTCAAATTTTAGACTTTCAAAATTTAGAAGATCAGGTATTTTGTTATTCAGTGACCATAATGACATGTTAACCGGCCAAATGTTCCTATGTTTAAAATATTTGGCCAAAAAATTGTAAACCATCAATGCTATGTCAAGTATTATTGTTTTATTTATTTTGTAAATTTTTTAGGCAAAGTATATGCATGTATAAATTTGGGGGAATTTCAGATTTTTATGAATTTTGCATTAATTTAAGAATTGTTCAGCTGCATCTGAATATTAAAAAAAAAGATGTAAGTAGCATTTATACTTCCAAAGTTACAATCAATTTAAGAATTGTGAAACACATCTAAAGGATGCAGCTAAAGAGCAGCTAAGTTTTTTTTTTCTCACTTATGGAACTATATTGGAACTGATTTTATATGACCTTTGATGATACACAATGGATGGTAGATATAACATTATTTTAACAAATCTATTGTGTTTGCTTTCAGTATGTCACAACCACCATTGATTAGATCAAAAGAAGAAGTGAAAGCTAAGATTCAGTTACTTGAGGTAAGGTTCTTTTATATGGCATTTAAAAGGTTTATAAAATTGTAAACATGCATGTTAATTTGTTAAATGTGAATCTGAATTCACCAGTTCAAAAATATTGATTTGTCTATTATATACATACTTTCTTTATAATAGATAGTTCAGTAGACTCCACCTAATCGGATATCAGCTAAACAAATATATTGGCTATTGCAATATTATTTCAAAACACCAAACCCTTTCCTATACATTTAATGTTAATTTTATCATGTAATCGAATATCGGATATAGGAATATATCCGCAAATCGGATAAGAATATTCAGGAAATTTTGTTCAAAACTATGCAATGTTTTTCTGACCGGAAATGCAGACAATAAAATTAGTTTTTACTAAATAGAAAGGAACAATTTCTTAATAAATTGTTGTCTTTATTCATTTTCTTCCTTTGTAATGTGAATTAGATGCCCTTTAAATTCAAATGGTTTGAATTTTTTTATATAAAATACACAAGAGCAGCATGTTGGGAGAATTTTGATAAAACTCTAAATGTTCACAGAATTAGAAATATAATTTAAACTGAATGTACCGTACCTCCTTCTGAACAATTTATTGCAATATACATATAAAGCCCTTTTGACAAGAGAAATCTGACTTTTGTCTGATATAATTTTGTAAAATGTGTATGACCACATTTCATGGATGCCATTTTGTTTTGTTTACAAAATGTGAAGAAGCCTCGAGAACCATGACCTAAACAATAAACAGTCTTCAGAAAACTTAAACTTGATGCAATCATATTTTTTTTCATAAATTTAAATTTTATTATTTAAAGAAATAAAATATATAAATATAATTTTAGTTTAGAGATATTGTACACAGACATGCTTTGATCTGTTTATAGCCCAATTATTAGCTTACCTGTGATAAATGTAAATAATGGACCATCATCCAAACATCTGTGATGTGATGGATGAAGGTCATTATATGAGGAAGCCAAGGGCTTCCGAGGGTTAATAGTGAACCTTTTATTATGTGCCAGCCACACGCCTATTTTACAGTTGAGTGATTTTTTGTATGTCCAGGTAGTATATAAGGCCAGGTGACCTGAGTAGTATCCTCTTTTATTTTGAGGCAAACAGTAAAATCTCCAGTGTAAATGGGTAGTAACACGACCAGTATTTGCATTTATATCAAACCTCATCGGGAATGGGTTTTCACTAGGGAGGGTACTATTAACCCTCGGAAGCCCTGGCTTCCTCATATAATGACCTTCATCCATCACATCACAGATGTTTGGATGATGGTCCATTATATATCATAACCCGGGCTTGACTCGGGTTAATAGTGAACTCTTTACAGCCAAAAATGCAAATACCAACAAGAACAACAAGAACATCAATCACCATAACCAAACAATTGGTCTCTCATACTTTAACAAGTATATATGTATGAGCCTAAATCATATCAAAATATTTAACTGCAGATAAAAAGAAAATTCATCTGTCTCCATTCATGTATATCACTTGTACGAAAGAGAATACACAATCACCACTATGTCTATCTACTATCTTTTTATTCCATGTGTTAGATGTTTCTGTTTTCATACCAAAATCATAAACAGTCTCTATTAATACCAAATATAAAACATCCTCTAGTAGAAAACCTAACTACCACTCTACATAATATGTACATGTAGTAGATCATAAATTATCACATTTTGTCTCCATAACATTACTCCAAAACTACCCAGAATTGCAATGACTATCATGAAATAATAGAATATTTCTTTGTTTTGTGGAATAAAGACATAAGCTTCATAATAACTTTTATTATGTTCAAAAACAAAAATCTGTTACAATCTTCAGAAAACAATTAATACTCTATAAAGTTCACTTTAAAATGCCTCTCACATGTAACAAATATAACAAAATAACACTGTTGTTTTCTCATTATTCTTAAATTATCACATTTTCTCTATGCTTCTTCTCAAACGTTCTCGAAATTTAATGCTATTGACTAAAACTGTTCGATTCAACTCCAAATGTCAGCAAACTCCTGTTGCAAAAAACCAAATGGAATGTCCAAAAACCATTCATCTCGCAGAAATGCTAGATACATCATAACATGTACGTAGAAAAACCATAGCTGATCCTCCTGGTCCACCATACAGTTCCTGTAAACCACTAGCTATAAATAAGAATTAAATACTGTTTCAGTATATGATGGCAATGGAGTTTCAATATCTTTAAAATAAAACTTTTGAAAAGTGTAAGCTGACCTCCAGTTAGCAGTTTTTAATATATCATTCAGTGAAATTCCAGCTTGTTTAGCAGCTGAAGTTGAAGCACTACGATATGAGTGTGCCTTAAATTTGTTTATATCAATTCCTGCATTACCTAACACTATTTTCAACCAACGAGCAATAGTTGAAGTTGTAACACGTTTGAATGTTCTAAAAGAAATGAATAAATTTTTACTTTTTCGAACATCCTTTGTCCGTAAAATATAATGTTTAATACATCTAACAGGACAAATATCCTGTTTTTGATATTTATGTATGATAACATCCAAATTAGATTTGTTTGGTTTAGTTGTTTTTAGTAAAACTGGTATCTTAAAAATCAAAGAATTGTCTGTTACAGATACAAATCTCAGATCTAAATTAACAAGTGTTTGTGATCTTTGAGCTGATGACAATGCAAATAAAGCAATGCATTTCAGAGTTAACATTTTTAGAGATAAATTCTCATTTGGATATAATTGTGATAAGTACTTCAAAACTGTACCAACATTCCATGTAAATGTATATCTAGGTAAAGACGGCCTTAAATTAAAAATGCCTTTCATAAATCTAGTTATGTGTTTATCTTTTGCTAATTCAGCCATACCCATTAATGTCAGAGTCTGACAAATAGCTGATTTATGAGAATTAATACAGCTGTAAGATTTTTTGTTTTCATACAAAAAAGATAGATAATTCAAAATTTGTATCACAGATGGAGAAGTGGAATTAATTTGTTCTTTACTACACCACAAAATCCACTTCCTCCAAGCATATTCATACTGTTTATTGGTTGAATCTCTCCATGATTCGGAGAGAATTCTAACAGCTCTTTTTGAAAAGCCTTTATCAATGAGATATCGCCGGATACAATACAAGCGATAAGGAATAATCTTCGTTAGTTCATTGAATGTCTTTGACCATTGTGAGCCAAAGTTAATAGATCTGACCAATTTGGTAATTTTAGTGGAGTAGAAATTAATAATTCTAATAATTTTGGAAACCATGTTTGTGTGGTCCAAACAGGAGCTATAATTAATGCCTTCCTTACCTTGTCCTCTTCTATTTTCTGTAGGACTCTTGGCAACTGACTGAAAGGAGCAAAAATATATGGTAATAAATTACTCCAAGAGAGAGAAAATGCATCTGAAGCATAAGCTTCTGGATCAGGAAACCAACTAACATACTTTGGCAGTTGTTTGTTTAAACGAGACGCAAACAAATCAATCTCTGGGTTAAATAAACTTAAAGTCACTTTTTCAAAAACTGAACTATTTAGTTTCCACTCTGAAGAATCATTAAATTGTCTAGATAAATTATCTGGTTGTATATTTTGTTTTCCTGGGATATGTACCGCAGATATAAATACTTTTCTTTCAGTACTCCAAAACCAAATTTCTTTTGCAAGTTTTAAAAGCGATAATATTGATCCCCCTTGATTATTGATGTATGCAACCGCTACTGCGCTGTCTGTTCTAACACAAATATGACAATCTTTAACAGATCTACAAAGAGCCTGCAATGCCAAAATTATTGCTTTTAATTCTAACACATTAATATGATTCTGACATTCATCTATATTCCATCTACCTTGGGTACAATCTTTCTCAAATACTGCACCCCAACCTATCAACGACGCATCAGTTTGTAAATAAACTTTTGGAGGCTCTTGTCGAATTGGACAACCATTTTCTTTTTTAATATTTTGAATCCACCATAAAATCTCATTTTTACTCTCCACCGACAAAGACATATGAGCATTAAAATTTTTAAAAGATTTTTGTAAAGCTTTTGTTTTGTCAATGTCCAAATATCTATGCTGTAAATGTGCAAGTGTAATTGCATGATAAGATGAAGAATATAACCCAATTAATTGGGCAACCGTACGAATTTGTGTAATCTTCCTTTCAAACACTTTGTATGAAATTTCTATAATTTTTTGTATTTTATCTTCTGGTAAAAATACCTTGAACAAAACTGAATCAATAATGAATCCCAGAAACATTGTTCTTTGTGAAGGTATAAAATTTGATTTCTCTATATTTATTGAAAAACCTAGTGATTCTATTAAATCATTTACAAAATGTGTGTTTCTTTTTGCTTGTTCGAAACAAAGTGCTTGTAATAGGGAATCATCAATATAAAAGAAAGAACTAATGCCTAACTGTCTCACATGTGAAAATACCACTTTCATGATTTTTGTAAATATTCTTGGAGCCGAAGCTATTCCGAATGGGAGACATTCAAAATTATATAATTTGTTGTTCCACATAAATTTCAAATACTTTTTACTGTCTTCGTGTATCGCTACAGACCAATATGCCTCGGACAAATCCAGGCTTGTAAAAAATGCATTTCTAGAGATGCTTTTCAAAATAACTTCAAGAGTTTCTTGTTTAAAATGATAATACTGAATATAACTGTTTAATTTTTTCAGGTTAATAACTGGTCTAAATGTTCCATTTTTCTTTTTTACAAGAAAGAGATTTGAAATAAATTCACCTTTCTCATGGTGTGAAATTTTAATTGCTCCCTTTTTTAACATATCAGATACCTCTGTATCAACTAATCTTTCCTCATTTTTATTAAATTTTATAGGTCTTGGAATTATTTTCTGAACTGGTATCTCATCAAATTCTATTTTGTAACCAGTAATTGTTTCTAATACCCAACTATCTGATGTTAATTTTTTCCAATTTCTAATATGATATTTTAATTTACCAATGTTTAAGCCAACTTTTTCAACATGTTTACATGTAATACCAACCTTCAATTTTTTCTTCTGTATTGAGAATTCATCATGGGTTGCCTGTATGACCCTCTTGGGTAGCGGCTCTGCCCTCTGAAAATGCCTCTTGGGTTTGACATACCAAACCGGTACCCTCGCCGATAGGATCGGCCTCTGTAGTTTTTTGAACTGAAAGTTTTGTTTATCTTTTGTGCATCATTAATCTCCCGAAGTCTTTTACTAATATCATCTCCAAAGAGTTTTTCACCCACGACCTCATTTCTGTTACACAGTTGATGGAATTTACGTTCAATATGAGGCTTCAAATTCATTCTCCTTTTAATAGATAGCTCAAAATGCAAATTACACTGTATAGAAATAGCTCTTGAAATTAACTCTCTCATTGTCTTAATACAAGGATTTTTCCCTCGTAATAATTCCGCCACCTTAATCAAAGGGACCATGCCTGCCCCTGTTAGCTTTTGAATATTCTGAGAAATCAAATCCTCAGTCTTAGCTCTACGGGCTAAAAATTGCCAAATTTCTGGGTTGACAGGTGGTGGTACTAAAGCTTTACAATTGCTAGGTATCTTGCTATCCTTAGTCAAAGATGTAACATCTGACTTTTTCTTACAAATTTTTTCTATGACTGATGCTATCGAAGGGCTGACCTCAGAATCAAACCGTTCATCGTCCTCAAAAATTTTTGGCATTTCATAATCAAACTCCTCGTCTTCACTTTCAACGACAAGTTGTGTGGGATCAACATTACTCTCATGTTCAGACAAATCATCAGTTTCAAACAAATTGAAAACATTTTGGTCATTTTCGACCTCATTAATGTCATTATCTTCAAGTTCCTGTATAAAACTATGGGAGTCACTACTTGGACCTGCAGTACCACTACTATTGACATTTATTGCAGACACAATATTACTAGATAAGTCAGCAAATAATTGTTTCAGTAACTCATTTTGCTCGGCTTGAGCTTGTTTACTTTTAGAAGTTTTTCTGGGAGCCTTTGGCTTACTACAGCTAGCGGACGGTTCGTCCTGCGTAATTTGAATACTTCTTTTCAAAGGTGCTTTGCCTTTCTTATTTTTGCCTGGACCTTTTCCCGGTCCTTTTTCTGTAGGCACAACCACTGTTTTCTTATTAGTTTTTACGTTTGTACTCACAGTTTGTGAAAAAGAATCTATATCGGGTTTATCTAAAACCTGAATGCACTCCGGTGTATTTGAAGCGTGATTCACACTTATATTTTCAGAAAACCCGGAGAAACTTGCGTCAAACTCATCCTCGGAAGCAAAAAGCTTCATAATCTCCTCATAGTTTCTTTCATCTTCAGATTCTGAAGAAGATGGTCTACGAGACCTTGCCATTTGAAAATCTATAGTATAGACACGTGTATCGATCAAACAGGGTCTGCTTGATACGTACTTAAATTCGTGCGGCCTTGAAATAAAAGAGGATACTACTCAGGTCACCTGGCCTTATATACTACCTGGACATACAAAAAATCACTCAACTGTAAAATAGGCGTGTGGCTGGCACATAATAAAAGGTTCACTATTAACCCGAGTCAAGCCCGGGTTATGATATATAATGGATATAATTCGTTTACAAAACATATAATGACAAAAACTATGGATGGTAGATATTTATTCACATAAATATTTCGTGACATTTGATTTATTTTAATAAATATAGGATTAAAAAACGGAAAACAAATATGAGCATTACATAACCAGCTGATAATTTTTTACACAAACATCGTGGTGATGTAACTGATAAAAACCACTCCAGCCCTTTCAAATATACAGCAATGGTCAGGGTTAGTAACATCTCAGGATAAGGTCTACTCATTATTGCAGAATATTCAATGAATATACATTTATCGTCTAATTGAATATATGGGGTAATGGGATATTTTTTGCTGACATTTTGGGTATCCTATTTGACTTCTAGTATAATCTTTTACACTTTCATATTTCATCAGCAAAATCATTTCTTAGAAATATAAGAAGGGTTGGAGTTTATTAACTTTTTTTTCTCTAATAAAAACTTGACATAAATGTATCCAGTGTTTCTTTGGCCATATTTTAAAAGAAACCACCATAATAGAATTTAAGATGCTGTCTAATTCTCTCCCCATACATCATTTCTTGAAAAGCTATCAGAAAGGCACTGTTAAATATGGAACTTTGTGCATTATTAGATTTATTTTCCTAATGCTGGTAGTTTAAAGGTTTGGTTGGCTTGTTTGCTTTGTTTGTATAAATGTTTGCTCAAGCATTGTAATTAAGATTGCCATCTGCAATTAATAGATTGGTGGGCCTTCAGCTTGTATACATTATACTCTGCATTATATTTAACATCCAATAACATTTAAGTATCAGGTATACAAGCTGAAGCCCCACCTATCTATTAATTGCAGATGTCAATCTTAATAACAATGCTTGAGCAAACATTTAAACAAACAAAGCAAACAAGCCAACCAAACCTTTAAACTACAAGCATTAGGAAAATAGCTCTAAAAAAAATAAAACAACCACCACTGTTATCTTGTTAGAGTAATTGATTGACAAATGGTATGTCTTAGGTTTACTACACTACTGGATCAAACAATTCCAAATCGGGTATTTATTATTTTTCTTCTAAGTGTGCATCTTCCTGCGTTAGAGAAGACTTGTTAGCTTGGAGTCCGATTAATGTGTCCAGCTATGAAGAAATGTGTTCCTGCAGACTAGTCATTTTGGGGCCCTTTATAGCTTCCTGTTCGGTGTGAGCCAAGGCTCCGTGTTGAAGGCTGTACTTTGACCTATAATTGTTAACTTTTTATACATTGTGACTTGGATGGAGAGTTGTCTCATTGGCACTCATACCACACCTTCTTATTTGTATTACCTTCTGAGCTAGCACATTAAAAATTTGGCTCAGTGTTCCAGCTTAGTACAAAGCAAGGATTAGTAATGTAACATTAACATGGTATTATCCTGAATGTGTATGTAATATATTTGCTGCTAAAGCAAAGGATATGTCAATTAATCAGTTTGAAATAAACAATAACAAAAAAGTGTGTTAATTTGATTTTAATTCTTTTTACAGGCATTAAGTGATATTGAGATTGCAATCAAAGTACTGAAACAAGGAGATATGTCTGACAACCCAATAGACAGACATTATAAATCACTTAATGTTGATCTTGTACCTGTAGAAAAATCATCAGATGATTATAAGGTAAATACACATGCTCCCTGAAACAAGGAGGTTATGCCTAACAACACAATAGACAGACATGACATTACTAAAGTGACCGAACAACACTGATAATTAACTCATGCACTCAGGGCATTCATGAATTAATGTTTTGTTCTGCCACTCAAATATTTTTACTTGATTTGAATTCTTGGATTAGTTAAAATTGAGAATGGAAATGGGGAATGTGTCAAAGAGACAACAGCCCAACCAAAGAGCAGAAAACAGCCGAAGGCCACCAATGGGTCTTCAACACAGCGAGAAAATCCCGCACCCTGAGGTGGGCTTCAGCTGGCCCCTAAACAAAAATGTGTACTAGTTCAATGAAAATGGACGTCAGTTACTCTATAAATTAAGATGAAAACCTAATTAAAAAAATGAAATTTATCTTAGGTTCTTACAATTGATTGATAACAGTTCTTTTATTACAATGTTTATTATTTTATTTCAGATGGTAAATGATTATTTACTTAATACACATGCATCAACTCATAGTCAGTATAAGATGGAAATAGTCAGTCTTTTTGAAATGAAGAAACATGGAGAAGATAAAAATTTCAAAGATCTTGGAAACAGGTACTGTATGCATGTGGAAGAAACTTAAAACACATTTTCAAAATAAAAGAAACATATTCTAGTGTTTTGTAGAGTCTAATATTGGGAACTATTCCCCATGACAAAAACAAACATAAACATTTAATCTCATCAAATTGGCACAGGTGATTAAAATCTGCTACTATTTAAATGAGATTAGGTGAATGACATTAGAAGATGATAACCAAATCAAATAATAAAAATTAAAGATCACATGTGAGACCTGAAACTGAAAAAGATGTTAAGCAATGAAATCATGAAAATCAACAGTTACATTACCTGGAATCATTAAAATCACTGATCACATGACATAAAATCATGAAAATCACTGATCCCATGTGAGACCTGAAACTGAAAAGATGTTAATGAAACCATGAAAATAACAGATTTCATTACCTGAAATCATTTAAATATCTGATTACATGACCTGAAATCATGAAAATCACTGATAAAATGCCTTGAAATCATGAAAATCACTGATAACATACCAGACTAAAATATTTACATGCTACATTTAAATACGAAGCATGATAAAGAAAATATTTTGAAGTATGTAAAATTTGGTTTCTGATATTACAAGTATCAAAGAGATATGTGATTTCAATATTCATTAGGATATGAAAAAAACAATTCTTATTTTATTACAAAATACTGAAAAAAAGTTGATTTACTGATATGTACCATCTAACATAGCCTATTTATACCCATTACAGACAGTTATTGTGGCATGGTTCTAGACTGTCAAACTGGGTTGGAATTCTTAGTCAAGGTTTACGTATTGCTCCACCAGAAGCTCCTGTAACAGGATACATGGTAAGTTACTGGGTAGGAATTCTGTGTTATGGTATGCATATTTTGTTTTGTGAGAGTTCCTGTCATAGATAACTTGGTATCTAAAATTGTAAACCATTGTAGCTCCTGTGCCTGTTACAAAACATGTTAGCTGAACACAGTTTAATAATTAAGGATATTTACCTGTTGCATTGTGAAAGTTAAGGGCCCATACACCTGAAAGTATATATATGCTGGGATATTTACCATATTCACCAAGAATTATTTATTTATTAACATGGAAAAGGTTTGACTCACAGCTTCTACAATCAGAAGTAAGAAAAAAAATTAGAATTAATGAAAAAGAAGGAATGTTCTGTAATTATTGATGACACAAAATCCTTACATGCATTTGTCAAAACAAAAACTATGTATATAAATATCCATGTTTACAATTTTAAATAATAATTGATATAAAGATCTGATTTATTATTTAATTTTTTGAATTTCATCGGTGTCTTTAAGGGTGGATTCATTAATTTTCGTGGGATATCAATTTTCATGGATTTGTTGGGTATATTTGAACAAAGAAAATAAATATTTAATGAAGCATAAATTTTCTAACGGCATGTATGCAGACTTTAGTAGAACCCGGAAATCTAATATCCTCGAAAATATAATTTTTCTAAATCCATGAAATGTGTTACTCACAAAAATAAATGGATCAACAGTATTTATAATACTATAAATATGTTTTATGTTTTTGATCACTTTCAGTTTGGTAAAGGTGTATACTTTGCTGATATGTCTAGCAAGAGTGCTAACTACTGCTTTGCTTCAAGATCTAAAAATATTGGTTGTATTTTATTGAGTGAGGTATGTAAACTTAATCATTATGTTTTGATTGACTTGGTATCATTTTGTTGGAGTAAAGATTGCACTAAATGCAATCAAAACCCAATTGTGACTGGTTGGATAAATATATCTAGCCAGTGTTCAGGCCTGTTCTCTACTTATGTTTGTGAATACACACAACATAGTGCAATGAGGTGGACATTCTTTAGATCCTATCCATGCTCATGTCAAGCAATTTATTGGTTATATTTACTCAAGATAACCAGGTTACAAAATAATGTGTATATGTATAACCATACTTGTGAAGAAACCCATGTTATTATGGCAAATAGAAATTTTCCTGTATCACCAAGATTACAATTCTACGTTGCTAATTAAGTTGTTATATTAGCCTAGGAAATACCTATTTAGTCTTGAGAATTGAAAGGTCACTTTATCCCAAGTTATCCCAAGTATGCTTGGATCAATTGACTAGAAACTTAATTTTGTTTGGCTTGCTTAAAGTAAGCTACATTGTCATTGTGAAAATTGTCTGGTTGTTTTTTCCAAAGGACTTTAACCAAGAGTTAAGGGACTTTAACTGTCAGATTTATGCCAATTTTTCAAATGTTGTGCACTAACTCAGTATGCTCTGATCAATTTACTTGAAACTTTACAAAAATGTTGGGATAAGTAAATATGCCTTTGGGCCAGGTGGGCTTACCATTTTCTTAACCATTTTGGTTTCTAGAGGATACATTATCAGACAGATTTATTGTGAAATACACCATAACATAAGTTTTATATTATTTTTTCAGGTTTCGTTGGGCAAAACAAATGATTTGTTAGCAGCAGATTATAAGGCAGATAAATTACCTACAGGAAAACACAGCGTAAGAGGATTAGGCTCTATTGGTCCAGACCCTTCAAAGACAAAAACTTTGTAAGTATAGAAATAAAACATTAGGCTCTATTGGTCCAGACTCCTCAAAGACCAAAACTTGTACTTATAGAAATAAAAGATTAGGCTCTATTGGTCCAGACCCCTCAAAGACCAAAACTTTGTAAGTAAAGAAATAAAACATTAGGCTCTATTGGTCCAGACTCCTCAAAGACCAAAACTTTGTAAATATAGAAATAAAACATTAGGCTCTATTGGTCCAGACCCCTCAAAGACCAAAACTTTGTAAGTATAGAAATAAAACATTAGGCTCTATTGGTCCAGACCCCTCAAAAACCAAAACTTTGTAAGTATAGAAATAAAACATTAGGCTCTATTGGTCCAGACTCCTCAAAGACCAAAACGTTGTAGCTAAAGAAATAAAACATTGGTCTAGACCCTTCAAAGACCAAAACTTTGTAAGTATAGAAATAAAAGATTAGGCTCTTATTGAAACAATAGCTCTGGTGGATAGTTGTCTCATTGGCAAACATACCACATCCCCTTAGTTTTGTAAAAATACAATTGGTGTAATTTTGTAAAAGGCATTTCTTTGCTTTATGTCATAGTCATTAAAAATTCTGATTTTGAAATTATAGCTGATGGATCAATTCAGAAATTCTACTTTTGTCCTTGTAAATTACATTGTGAAGTCTCAGTCTCCATGTAAATGAAGTCTCAACCAATCAAGTATGTCCAAATCATCTTGTAAATTATGTCTATAGTGAATTTACCTGTGTGTAAGACAGCAAAAACTAATCTCTGTAAACTGAGATTGATTGATTGTTTAATTGTTTATTGGTGTTTAATGCCACTTTCAGCACTCTTATCTTTATCATGGCCGACAGTTTTTACTGGAGAGGAATCCTAAGTTCCCAGAGAGAACCACTGACCTTGGGCAGGAAAATTGTCAATTGAACTAAGATAGTATTTCCCAGGTGTAAAAAAACAAATCAATAATCTGTTTAAACAATTACTGAGAATTTTTTATTATTTCTGAGGTACTTATTTTCCTGGGTACAGGCTAACCACTTTTTTTAAAGTTCAACAAAACACAAGTTTGTAATACACATCTACTTGAATGTAGAATTTGTCAAAGTTACTCATAAAGTGTTTTTATTTTCCACCAAAATGTTTTTCCTCAATCCATGAAAATTGGTACACAGGAAAATAAATGAATCCCCTTTTTATTTCTTGGTGAAGGTTACCTTAGATAAGTCAATTTCTCATATAAAAATGCGTTATAAAGTAATTTTTTCTTTGATTTCAGGTCATGTGGTACTGCTGTACCACTTGGTAAACCAGTTGACACAGGTGTAAAGAACCCAGCAGGATATACTCTGAACTATAATGAATTCATCGTCTATAATACTCAGCAAATTAAAATGAAATATCTTTTACAAGTTAAATTCAAGTTTTAAATGAGTCCGTGATATATTGAGGGGGAAGAAGTTACAATGATACCAAATGTTAACTTCTGTTGTTAGAACAAGTGAATTATTGGACAAATGTAGTGATAAGTCTCAGTATTGTGCTTGACAATTTTATAGATGAACTGTGTGGTGAACAATTTTAATGTAGCCTCCTTGTTTTATTGATAATACCATGTTGACATTGAATAGGTTAGATGTTTATATAAATTTGATCTAGATGTGTGGATAAATATGTTGCAAGGCTAACTTTGGCATCATTGACAAAGGGAGAGAGGCTATTTTCAATATGGTTGAAATGGAAATTGATATGTTCATGTCTGGATTTAGTCTGGTAAATAGTTAGACGTCTTGAAATAATATTTTAATTTTTCAGATGTCATAATTATTTGCACTAGTCTGGATTAGAATCTTAGATTCATGAATTTTCTGGTTAATAAATTTACAGATTATTCTGTTCTATTGTTTTTGTCTTAATAGGTTAAAATCCTGCATTATTATGAAGAAAATGTATTGTAAACAAAAAAAGATTGTATTTTGTTGATATTTTAAACCAAAATAATATTTGTTTCACCTCATACATTGTAGTTGAAAGACAATCATGGAAAAAAAATTAATTGAGAAACACCTTTTATTGCTAAGATTTCAATAAAAATTGTTATATAGGTATAATGTATCATTTCAAATTGATTCCAGGTGTATTCTGCCAATTTCCAAATAGACGTCAATATACATTAAAGAAATTCGACGTCTAGAGCATGATATCCCAAATTAATTCTTACTCGTCAGTCACTGTTTTACAAAATGGTCATCAAAATACTTAAACATTTTGAGTACTTGGATTTCAATGAATTGGATATCTAGGTAGAATATTAGAAAATGATATCATGAACTAATCTCTAGTGTCCTTGTTGACATGTAAATTATTCTTGTGTCATTTTTATCAATAGCATGTTTCATCAAATTTAACGATTAATATTGTTTTGCTTATACTGAAATGTTATGAACTTATCACATGTTGTAAAATCATACATCATTCATTGTTTTTGTATACTGTTCTGTTAAGTTCTGTAGTTGTTAGATTTGAAACCTCTTAGAATAAAAGATTTAAATTTTTTTTTCAAATTTTGATATTCGCTCCCGTCTTGGTGGATGAGAAAGTGTTTTAGTTGTATATCAAGATAGCCATAGTATACAAGAACACCAATGTTAATGTCCAGAAATATAAGATGGGAAAATCTGTCTCAAAGGAAAGAATATCAAGAAAGCATACAATTTCTTATGATTGGAGAAAGATGGAACTTATACAAAAAATACAGTAAAGAAGTGGTCAGGACAAGGAAGTTTCTAACTGGTAAAATGGCTGTATTATTAAACTGGGGTTCTATGAACTTCTCTCTCCTATGTTTATAAAACAGATATATACACGAAGGCTTCAATTAATAAATAATAATAAAAAAGTGGAATTGGTTTGATCAAAACAATAAACCACCATAATTTTTATGTTTGTATGTCTCTTCATGTATTTGGCCAGGGAATGCATTTCTGAGTACATTGTTTTAGTTGATTCATTTTTTGTGTCACTGGGATTCAGTTATAAATTCTTGTCACTTGTTGAGGCTATCAGAAAAAAACCTTTTGTGATGTTTGCAGACCTGTTTAATGTCCTGATGTTGTAGGTTGTGAATTTTAATTTCAAAAGGATACATTAATTAGACAGCAACCAAACAGTACACAAAAAAAGACATCCATTACTAAGGACAGTATATGATCTTCAATAATTGACAAGAGTATTATATATTTATACAAGCTCTGAATAAGTCTAGATCAAGTACATGCATTGCTCTATAGTTTCCTTTGGTCTCTGGTGGATAGTTGTATCATTGGCAATCATACCAATATCCTAACTTTTATAAAGAATAAATACAACTGGAGACTACACCAAATTCCCTGGACAATGAACATTAAGATATAACTACAGATAGCCATTGACGAGGCTTCTGACTTGGTGGACGGTCACATAAACATTTAATTTTGTTAAATTAGTGTTTTGAAGACTCAACCATTCATCTTAATCGCTGTAGTGATGAAAGGTATACAAAGAGAATGTTCCTAGGGCCTAGGTGGCTGAGTTGGTGGTAGATAAGTAGTTCATCTTCTGTATTACCAGCCTGTTGACACTGAGGTGAGGTTCAACCCAGCATGTGGCGGTTGAATAAGACCAATATCCAAAATCTAAAGACAGGGTTAGATTCAGCATATCAGAGAACCCAAGAATTCAATTTTTGTCTCGCCTTGATGAAGTCAAAAAGCAAGACCGGTATGCTGTTTCCGGCGTCAGCAGCAGCATTAATGTATTAGTTTGTGATTAGGTCTAGTTTATGGTGAACCACTAGTAATAGGTCAATGATATTTGGTATGCAGTTGTACTAGCATTGACACATCTCATTTCCATGGAGATTATTTGGCCCTGCCCCCTCAGTCATGGTCTATTGACTTTGAAACTTTTGCTTAGTTTACATGTATTGGTTTGTGATTAGGTCAGTTTATTTGGAATCACTAGTGGTAGGTCAATGATATTTGGTATGCAGTTGTATAAGCTTTGGCATATCTCATTTCCATGGAGATTATTTGGCTCCGCCCTCAGTCATGGTCTATTGACTTTGAAACTTTTGCTTAGTTTACATGTATTAGTTTGTTATTAGGTCAGTTTATTGGGAACCACTAGTGGCAGGTCAATGATATTTGGTATGCAGTTGTATAAGCATTGGCATATCTCATTCCCATGGAGATTATTTGGCTCCGCCCCCTCAGTCATGGTCTATCAACTTTGAAACTTTTGCTTAGTTTACATGTATTAGTTTGTGATTAGGTCAGTTCAAAGGGAATTATTAGTGGTTGGCCAATGTTAATTGGTATGTAGTTGTATAAGCATTAGCACATCTAATTTCCATGGAGAATATTTGGCCCCGCCCCCTCAGTCATGGTTTGTGATTAGATCAGTTTAAAATGAACCGCAAATGTTAAGTCAATGATATTTGGTATGCAAATTTATTGGCATTTGCAAGTCTCATTTCATGGAGATTATATAGCCCCACACCCTCATCATGGTTCATTGACTTTGAAACTTTTACTTAGTTTACAAGTTAATGTTTGTGTTTAGGTTTGTTTAAAGGGAACGACTTATGACAAGTTAATGGTATTTGGTATGCAGTTGTATTAGCATTGGCACATCTCATTTCTATGGTGATTGTTTAACCATGTACCTTCAGTCATGCTTCATTGACTTTGAATATTTGCATAACTTACATGTTAAAGTTTTTCTATTTTAATTTCAACATTTGCATTATCAAAATTACAAAAAGAGGAGACATATCTCTGTGTTAAGTTTGATGAAATTGAACATATTTTAAATTGGACCCTGTGGACCAATTTGATAACTGGGCCCAAAATCCAAAATATAAATACATGGTTAGAACCATTAGCTTTGAATATAAGCTTTCAGTAACTGCAAGTACTCTTATGTCGGTGCTTTGTGTCTATTGTTTTATGTATAACTTAGTTGTTTTATGTGCTTTGTTCTGATCTATCGTGTTAAGCCATTTACAACTGATTTTACAGTTTGTTCTGATCTATCTAGTTAAGCCATTTACAACTGATTTTACAGTTTGTTCTGATCTATTGAGTTAAGCCATTTACAACTGATTTTACAGTTTGTTCTGATCTATTGAGTTAAGCCATTTACAACTGATTTAACAGTTTGTTCTGATCTATTGAGTTAAGCCATTTACAACTGATTTTACATTTTGTTCTGATCTATTGAGTTAAGCCATTTACAACTGATTTTACAGTTTGTTCTGATCTATCGAGTTAAGCCATTTACAACTGATTTTACATTTTGTTCTGATCTATTGAGTTAAGCCATTTACAACTGATTTTACAGTTTGTTCTGATCTATCGAGTTAAGCCATTTACAACTGATTTTACAGTTTGTTCTGATCTATCTAGTTAAGCCATTTACAACTGATTTTACAGTTTGTTCTGATCTATCTAGTTAAGCCATTTACAACTGATTTTACAACTGATTTTACAGTTTGTTCTGATCTATTGAGTTAAGCCATTTACAACTGATTTTACAGTTTGTTCTGATCTATTGAGTTAAGCCATTTACAACTGATTTTACAGTTTGTTCTGATCTATTGAGTTAAGCCATTTACAACTGATTTTACAGTTTGTTCTGATCTATTGAGTTAAGCCATTTACAACTGATTTTACAGTTTGTTCTGATCTATCGAGTTAAGCCATTTACAACTGACTTTACAGTTTATTCTGATATATCTAGTTAAGCCATTTACAACTGATTTTACAGTTTGTTCTGATCTATTGAGTTAAGCCATTTACAACTGATTTTACAGTTTGTTCTGATCTATCTAGTTAAGCCATTTACAACTGATTTTACAGTTTGTTCTGATCTATTGAGTAAAGCCATTTACAACTGATTTTACAGTTCGTTCTGATCTATTGAGTTTAGCCATTTACAACTGATTTTACAGTTTGCTCTGATCTATCTAGTTAAGCCATTGAATTAAGTTATTTACAACTGATTTTACAGTTTGTTCTGATCTATCGAGTTAAGCCATTTACAAATGATTTTACAGTTTGTTCTGATCTATTGAGTTAAGCCATTTACAACTGATTTTACAGTTTGTTCTGATCTATGGAGTTAAGCCATTTACAACTGATTTTACAGTTTGTTTTGATCTATTGAGTTAAGCCGTTTACAACTGATTTTACAGTTTATTCTGATCTATTGACTTAAGCCATTTACAACTGATTTTACAGTTTGTTCTGATCTATCTAGTTAAGCCATTTACAACTGATTTTACAGTTTGTTCTGATCTATTGAGTTAAGCCATTTACAACTGATTTTACAGTTTGTTCTGATCTATTGAGTTAAGCCATTTACAACTGATTTTACAGTTTGTTCTGATCTATCTAGTTAAGCCATTTACAACTGATTTTACAGTTTGTTCTGATATATCTAGTTAAGTCATTTACAACTGATTTTACAGTTTGTTCTGATCTATCTAGTTAAGCCATTTACAACTGATTTTACAGTTTGTTCTGATCAATCTTGTTAAGCCATTTACAACTGATTTTACAGTTTGTTCTTATCTTTTGAGTTAAGCCATTTACAACTGATTTTACAGTTTGTTCTGATCTATTGAGTTAAGCTATTTACAACTGATTTTACAGTTTGTTCTGATCTATGGAGTTAAGCCATTTACAACTGATTTTACAGTTTGTTCTGATCTATCTAGTTAAGCCATTTACAACTGATTTTACAGTTTGTTCTGATCTATCTAGTTAAGCCATTTACAACTGATTTTACAGTTTGTTCTGATCTTTTGAGTTAAACCATTTACAACTGATTTTACAGTTTGTTCTGATCTATTGAGTTAAGCCATTTACAACTGATTTTACAGTTTGTTCTGATCTATCGAGTTAAGCCATTTACAACTGATTTTACAGTTTGTTCTGATCTATCTAGTTAAGCCATTTACAACTGATTTTACAGTTTATTCTGATCTATTGACTTAAGCCATTTACAACTGATTTTACAGTTTGTTCTGATCTATCTAGTTAAGCCATTTACAACTGATTTTACAGTTTGTTCTGATCTATTGAGTTAAGCCATTTACAACTGATTTTACAGTTTGTTCTGATCTATTGAGTTAAGCCATTTACAACTGATTTTACAGTTTGTTCTGATCTATCTAGTTAAGCCATTTACAACTGATTTTACAGTTTGTTCTGATCTTTTGAGTTAAACCATTTACAACTGATTTTACAGTTTGTTCTGATCTATTGAGTTAAGCCATTTACAACTGATTTTACAGTTTGTTCTGATCTATCGAGTTAAGCCATTTACAACTGATTTTACAGTTTGTTCTGATCTATCTAGTTAAGCCATTTACAACTGATTTTACAGTTTGTTCTGATCTATCTAGTTAAGCCATTTACAACTGATTTTACAACTGATTTTACAGTTTGTTCTGATCTATTGAGTTAAGCCATTTACAACTGATTTTACAGTTTGTTCTGATCTATTGAGT